AGTGCTCAGGCCCAGAGTTCAAGCCCCACGATTGACCAAAAAAAAAAAAAAAAGATACAAAATTTAGGACAAGAGAGTGATATTGTTCTAAGTAAGGGAAATGAGGAAAAGGGCAAAGGTTTTGGTGACAACCTCTAGTCAAAAGCTACATGAATATAAAGAATTCTGTAGAAGTCAAGCATCCAAGAGAAAAAAAAAGATGCAAAATAACATATGATAATCAAAAAGTGCCTTTCGGGGGCTGGGAAGGTGGCTCAGTGGTAGAGCGCTTGCCCTGCATACATGAGGACCTGGGTTTGATTCCTCAGCACCACATAAGCAGAAAAAGCTGGAAGTGGTAGAGCACTAGCCTTGAGTTGAAGAGCTGAGGAAAAAGTGCGTTCAGCCAGGCACCAGTGTCTCACACCTGTAATCCTAGCTACTCAGGAGGCTGAGATCTAAGGTTTACAGTTTGAAGCCAGCTGAGGTGGGGAAATCTGTTAGATTCTTATCTCCAATAAACTACTCAGAGAAAGCCAGAAGTGGCACTGTGGCTTACATGATAGGGCTCTAGCCTTGAGCACAAAGAGGCTTATGGATAGTGCCCAGGCCCTGAGTTCAAGACCCAGGATCAGAAAAACAAAAGTGACTTTGTCAATGCTTTGATAACCACGCTATCTAGTTCTCGTAGAACTATCACATCATAGGGAGATTTGAAATAAATTAAAGATTAGATAATGAATCCAGTTATTAACACTATAAATTACACTTATATAAACTATAATTACAGAGTGTGGGAGAAAAGACACTCATTATGTGGTTATTCAGATAAATAAATGTAAGGAAGAGGTGCATTATTATAGAAATGATGAGGTATTGTTCCTGAAACATAATAAAGAATATGTCTAATTCAATTTAATGACATGAAGTATTTCTCATCTGAGAGGATTAAAGTAGACCAAAAATTTTATATAGGTAATAGTTTTCTAATGAAATTAAATAACATAGATTTTAAAAAATTAACAAAATGTAAGTACATTGGGCTAGGGATCATTGGCTCACATTTATAATCTTAGTAACCTGGAGGCTGAGGTCTGATTACCGCAGCTCAAAGCCATCGAGGGTAGACAAATCTGTCAGATTGTATGGTTCGAGTGGTACCAGCCCTGAACAAAAAACAGGCAAGTGCACAAGACCCGTTTCAAGCGCGTGCACACGTGCATGCGCACGCACACACACACAAAACGAGTCTTTGTGGGTAGTAAGTGGGAGCATCCCAATTATTGCTGGAGGTTTTTGTCTCCTGGCTTTTTTCACTTTTTTCTCTCTACCTAGTTCAGGCCTTTATGACATAACCCTTAGCCTAACTGCTCATAAGGGTTTTACAATTAAAGGATCTCTGTGCACTACCTGCTCTAGAATCTACTCTGGTTTTCTTACTCGGCAAGTAGATTCCTGTGGCCCTGTCTTTTCATTGAGACATCCATGGCCCTTCCAGTGGAGCCCCAGCTTTGGTTTCTAAACTCTCCCACTTAACTTTTGGGTATGTGCCAAGAATACCTACCAAATGAGATATTCCTGCACCACATTTTGCCTTTTAAGAGATACATACATTAGTTGTACAAGGAAGCAGCATTCACCATGACATTTCCACATATGTATACAAAATAAATCCCAATCAAACTCATCTCTTCTCCTAACTTTTCTTTATCTCCACTTTCTTTCCTTTTTAAAATGAGTTCCACAAGTTTTCATTTCTCTATCTCCCACATGGAAATAAACTACTTTGACCACATTCATTCTCATTCATCTTTTCTCTGTTAGCCCTACCCACCTGCTCCTGCCGGTACCAGCTCCCTTACTCCCTGCCAACTATTTTGGCAGTTAAGTTCCATTTAACTTTCCAGTCATTATTTTTATGTATATATTAATTTTACCAAAGGGTTTCATCATGGCATTTCAGATATACAAATATTATATATTTAATCAGAATCACCTCCATTGTTTTCTTTCCATGTCTCCCCAGCCCCTTTTATCAACAGTTGTGAGATTCCCTATGCCATCTTCATATGTAGTTGCAAAGTACTTAGTTACTCAGACAAGGTGCTGATGGCTCATACCTATAATCCTAGCTACTCAGGAGGCTGAGATCCGAAGATTGTGGTTCAAAGCCACATAGGAAAGTCTGTGACAGACTCATTGCCAGAAAGAGGGGGGTTCTGCTATGGCTTAAAGTGGTAGAGCACTAGCTTTGAGCAAAAAGAGCTCAAGGACATTAACCAGGCCCTGAGTTCAAGCCCCACAACACACACACACACACACACACACACACACACACACAGAGTTATTTACCCTACATATTTCTTTTTCTTGCTGTGTTGCTCAGAACTTATGGGATTCTACCTCAGGGATTTTCATCTTCTTTGTTCAAACCTTCTCTATCCTCTAGCACAAAGTTCTTGTGTGTACCAATGTGCTCTAATAACTAACATATAGATTACTTACTGTATGCCAGGCGCTGCACTAACAATTCTATATGTATTATCTTGTTTTGTCTTATGAAAAACTCTAAGACACAGGTAAGGCAAGGGAGATGAAATCTTTCCAAAGGGCACAGAGCCAGAACTGGAGCTAGGATCTGAATTCTGTGTGCTTAAACACTCCTGTGGCTAAAAGCTCTCAAAGAAAGAGAAAATAGAAGAAAACATTATTCAACTTACATTTGTTTTGTGTTTATTCTTGTAATTATTTTATCTGCTTTTGTATGTGGGCTGAAAATTTCTAGAGGGTAAAAATTCTAGTCTCATAGACGATGTTTGAGTTTCCAGCTACAACTGTTGGCAAAGGTAATGTTACTGAACCATCACATCTTCAAAGGTTTCATGATTGTGAACTGGCCAGGATCAAGCCCACTTTTCACGAATATTCCTCCTAAACAAATACATAGCTTGACCAACTGTTCTCCATGGACTCCAAGAAAGCTGTGCTTCATTTTACTATTCAGATTGAAGCTGGGAGTTTTCATTTCTTTTCTGCATAATGAAGTAGACGTTTAAGTGACTTGTCCCTTTTAGAGTTGAAACTACAAGTCCCAGAGGTTATTCACTTATTTTCAGGGTGGTACTTGATATTGAACTCAGTGGTTCCCAGTCTGGCACTCTACTTGAGCTAAGCTTTCTGAAGCTGGAGAAGGCCTTGAATCTCAATCCTACATCTCTACCTTCTAAGTAGTACAGGCTTGAGCCATCTGCCTGCCTGGATCCTGAGATTATATAGGGAGTCATCAGGAAGGTCTGTGGTGGAGCTGTAGTGGTACTAATTAGGATGACTATCATCCTAGTTCAGGACCCTATACAATCCTATTGCCTAAGATCCTGTATTTATAAAGATCAGTGATGTACTACATTGTTGACCAATTAGAAAATTCTAGAACACTTCTACAGTTTTACCTTGACACAAAATAAAATTATGCCATCATTATGGGAGTTCATGACTTCTCTATTTGTATTTTCAGAACTTGTTAGGTTTTCCCAAGAGTTACCAGTCAGTGACTGTTAAGGAGTGTATTACCAAGGACCAGGAACCTGTGGTTCATGCTTATTATCTTAGCTACTCAGAAGCTGAGATCTGAGATTCTCGTTCAAAGCCACTTCCAGGCAGGGAAGTCCCTCATTAACCAACTACCACAAAGTCAAAAGTGGAGCTGCTCAAGTGGTAGAACACCTGGCTTGAGCAGCAGAGTGGGCACCCAGGCCCTGCGTTCAAGCCACAGGACTGGCACTAAAGAAATAACAAAAAAAATCACCGTGGAGAAACATGTTAAAAACCTTCCATTTAAACCGTGTAGCAGCATCTGGGCTTGTTCTAGAATCTAGAAGACAAAGAGATGCCTGCCTTGGGTGAGAACCAACAACCTTGTACCTAGTCCCAATTCCTCAAAAGGACAAAAACCTCAACATTTCTGGAACCTCTTTCGAAACAACAGGATTCGACTAGTCAGATGCTAAGAGTGTGGGTGACTCCAGTAGGCAAAGGGGTTAATCACAAAATAACACTGCCAAATGCCCGGCAGTAATACTGTTTTCTACCCAGGGGCGTCCCTGGCCTTGTACTGCCGACGCCTCCAGTGCTGCCGTGGCTGGCCAGGAGTAGAGGCCTAGACTGGGTGGGAAGGGGGGGG